CCAGTGCAATGTATTCGGCTTCAGCAGTGGATAATGACGTTGAATTTTGTTTCTTGCTGTGCCATGATACTAGATTGTTACCCAAAAAGAAACATCCTCCTGATGTGCTTTTTCGATCATCCGTATTTCCTCCCCAATCTGCATCACAGTATCCTACTAGATGCGTACTCGTATCCTTTGTGTAATGTAACCCATAATCAACTGTCCCTTTGACATATTTGATTATCCTTTTCACTGCCAGTAGGTGAGACTTCTTAGGTTTTGCTTGATATCTGGCACATACGCCCACACTTAAGCACAGGTCAGGTCTACTTGCCTTTAAATACAGTAGACTCCCGATCATACTCCTATAGAGTTTTGGATCAACATCTTCTCCTTCATCATCTTTGGTCAACTTGGTAGTTGTGGACATGGGAGTACGTGCTGATTTGCTCGTGTCAAGTTCAAATCTTTTCACCAGATTCCGAGCATACTTCCCTTGAGAAACGAAGATTCCATCTTTGTTTTGCTTGACTTGTAGTCCCAGAAAGTAACTCAGTTCTCCAAACATACTCATCTCAAACTCAGCAGTCATTGTCTGAACAAACCAGTCAACCTTTGACTGGGATGTAGATCCAAACACAATATCATCCACATAGATTTGTACTACTAATAGTACATCGTCCGAATTATGGATGAAAAGCGTTTTGTCTACTCCCCCTCTTTTGTAGCCGTTCTCGAGTAGAAAACTGGCTAAACGTTCATACCATGCCCGAAGGACTTGTTTTAACCCGTAGAGAGCTTTCTTCAATCTGTACACGTGAGTGGAAAAATGTGGATCCTCAAAACCAGCAGGTTGTTCGACGTACACTTCTTCTTGAATCATACCATTGAGAAAGGCACTCTTGACATCCATCTGAAACAACTTAAAACCAAGAAAACACGCAATGCCAAGCAACAATCTAATAGACTCTAGTCAAGCAACGGGTGCAAAAGTTTCATCGAAGTCGATACCTTCCACTTGTGTATATCCTTGAGCAACTAACCTGGCTTTATTGCGAACTACTTCTCCAGACTCGTTGGTTTTGTTTTTGAAAATCCATTTCGTTCCAATCACATTAATGTGATCTGGTCGGGGCACAAGGTACCACACATATTCCTCAGAAATTGCTCCAGTTCATCGTGCATTGCCTTTACCCAGAATTCGTCCTTCAATGCTTCATCCACTCGAGAAGGTTCATTCTGCGAAGAAAAACACACAAAACGTACCATATCTTGATAATTCATCCTTTTACCTCGTGTACGCATGGGATCGAGTACATTTCCGATCACATCATCTTCGGAATGATTCCTGTGAACTGTAGGAGTAGGAATAATTTCCAAATCTTCTTCTTCCTTGGTCTCAACTTCTGCATTGTCACTTTGTTCTTCTACCGAGTGCTCACTGGGAACATCGTGAAGTAGTTTCGGCGGGACTTCACTCTGCTCTGCACTATGTTCCTCATCAAAGACAACATTAGCTGATTCCATAATCGTTCTAGTGCGCAAATTGTATACTCTATAGGCAGCAGAGTTCATTGCATAACCCAAGAACATACCTTCATCACTTTTGGCATCGAACTTCCCTCTGTATTCTCGATCATTCAACACAAAACATCGACAACCAAATATATGAACAAACTTTAGAGGAGGAGTCTTACCTTTCCATATTTCATATGGAGTTTTGGTTGTGCCTGGTCTGATATGGACGCGGTTGACAAGGTAGCATGTTGTACTTACCGCTTCTGCCCAGAAACGTTTCGCAACGTTTCTTGCATGTAACATTGTTCTTGCCATTTCTTGCAATGTTCTATTCTTCCTTTCAACCACTCCATTTTGTTGAGAAGTTTTAGGTGCAGAATACTCATGGACAATCCCATATTTGTTGCAGAATTCTGCAAACTGTTCATTTTCAAATTCACGCCCATGATCACTGCGAATTCTCTGAACACTACCTTTTCCATTTCGGAGTTGCAGCCATAAGTGTTCGAATACACCCAATGTTTCTGACTTCTCTCGTAAGAACCTGACCCAAGTAAAACGTGAGAAATCATCAACACATACAAACACATACCTCTTTCCTCCAAGACTCTTTGTCTGCATTGGTCCCATCAAATCCATGTGCATCAACTCGAGGATTTCAGATGTGTGTATCCCATCTATCATTTTATGATTCACCTTGATTTGCTTTCCAAGTTGACATGCTTTACACACCAGTGTTACCTGCGAGGATAACTCAGGTAATCCTCGTACAACATTTGACCTCGACAGCTTTACCAACGACCTTGTGATAATGTGTCCCAATCGTTGATGCCATAACTCTAGTTCAGAGTCGGCTGCTGTGAAACACTTCTCACTTTGAGTGCTTTCGTCAGGATTTACCCAAGTGTAGCAATTGCTGGGAGTTCTTTTTCCTGTCAACACACAATCTCCAAAAAGGTTTGTAACAACACAAGCATCTTTAGTGAAATTTACCTGAAATCCAGAATCACACAGTTGACTGATGCTTATGAGATTTGCCTTGAGTCCTTGGACAACATTGACATCTGTAAGTTTGGGCAGTCCTGATGCATCCAGATTTCCTTTGCCCAAGATCTTCCCTTTTCTTCCATCTCCAAATGTCACATTTCCTCCTTTGGGATTTTCTTCAAATGTAGACAGCATATTGACATCTCCTGTCATATGACGTGAGCATCCACTGTCAAAATACCACCGTTGTTCGCTTGACTTCAGTTCAGAAGTGTATGCCACATTACACCTTGAGACATCTTTTCTTCTCCAGACTTGCCTCCATCTTAGAGTGGGTGATACCTGATAAGTTTGCCAGTAGTAGCAATTCATTCTGATGTGACCTCTTGTTCCGCAGTAGAAACAAGTGCGATGCTCACGATAGTTCTGCAGTCTTTGTCTTGGATATAGATCAAACTTGATCTTTGGAGTCTGTTTTACTTGCGAGATCACTTCATCTCCAAGTTTCCTCCTGAAACAAAGTTTCCTACTTTGTTTTTGCTCCCTCCAGTATATCCGAGTCCAGTATGTCCAGAATCTGTTCGCCCGATTGTCAGTAAGTGATCCAATTTTGCAGTTTCATTTCCAAGCATTCTCACATTCTTCATGGTACCTTCCAATTGATTCTGTAATAAGATAATTTTTTCCTCTTTCTCCTTTAGTTGCTTCTTCAGATTATCAACTTCTGATACTTTCGTATCTAGCTGCTTCTTGATTTCCAAGATCTTAGCCTCTTTCTCCTTCTGTTCTTCGATCAATCTTGTGTTAATGTCGTACAGCCTTGACATATCCTTGTACAGATCTTCTTCGGATATCTCTTCTTCAATCTCTTCGATTATTCCAATGAATGCAACAAAATTTGACAGATCTTCTGCACTTTCTTCATCAGAATCGGTATCAATCTCTTCATGAGTGATCAGAGATTTACCTCTTGTTTTCCCAATAGAACATTCGTTCTTCGTGTGTCTATATCCATTGCATTCATAGCATTGAAGATCCTTCACATTTTTCAACATTGTCTCCCTCTTGGCAATACTACGGCATTCGGCCTTCTAGTGACCTGCTCCCGGGCATTCCAGACATTTTCCAGAATTTCTCGATTCTGCTTTGCCAGTGATACCTGGTTTTTTCTTAAAAAACCGGTTGAATTTTTTTACAATCATCGCCATGTCTTCCTCCAGTGACACTTGGCTGGGAGCCACAGATGCTTCTGGAACATGAAGTGCCAACCCCTTGTTTGGAGTCACTCCTTTTGGCTTTTCATATAGTTCCAGTTCTAACTCGTGAGCAGCAAAAGCTCCAACTGTCTCTTTGAAGCTGATAGTATCCACATTGTTTACCATAGTAAAAGCAGATTTATGAGACATAAACTTTTTGGGTAAACTTACCAAGAGTTTTGCCACGAGCTGTTTATCTCGATAGGTCTTTCCAAGGACATCTGCTTCGTTTGCCAGTGCATTCAGCCTGCCACAGAATTCCTTTACACTCTCATTTTCTCCCATTTGAA